TGTAGCGTCTTTGGCACGAAGTCCTTGGACTTTGCTACCTGTTTTGCGGCTGGGCTAACACATGTACGTTCGTGCAGACATTCGCCCACGAAGCAACGCTTCGCCTTGGTCACCTTCACCTTCCACATTCCCCTCGCTGCCTGCACCCCTGTTAGGCCGCCCTGTTGGGTCAACACCAGCCTGATTGCGGCGGCTCCGTCAGAGGCCACCGCGGGCCTGGGGATCGGGGAGGGGGGGGGGGGGGCAGATAGCATCAGCGGGCGCGACAAAGCGCCCGGGGCGGTGTCATCCGTCAGGGCCGCCGTCAGGACGGCCGGCGGACGGGACGCGCCGACCCCGCCCACCGGCCGCGGCCGCTTCCGGTCCCGCGGCCGGCCGCCGACGCCGGCCCGTCGGCGCGCGGAACCGTCCAGCCGCGTCCACCGCGGAACGGCGGAGCTGCTGCGTCCGGACCGACCCGCCAGCCCACAGCGGAGGTGCTGTGAGCGTACCCGCCAGCGCACAGCAGAGGTGCTGCGTCTAGACCCGTCAGCACACAACGAAGGAGCTGCGTCCGGACCCGTTAGGGCACAGCGAAGGCGTTGCGTCCCGCACAGCGGAGGTGCTATGTCCGTACCCGTCAGTACACAGCGGAAGTGCTGCGTCCGTACCCGCCAACGTACAGCGGAGGTGCTGCGTCCGGACCCGCCAGCACACAGCGGAGGTACTGTGTCCGTACCTGCCAGCGCACAGCGGAGGTGCTGCGTCCGTACCCGCCAACGCACAGCGGAGGTGCTGCGACCGGACCCGCAGCACACAGCGGAGGCGGAGTACCGCTGTGCGCTGAATGAGACATAGCACCTCCGAGGTGCCCGCCGCCGTCTCTGGCAGTGCTTGAGTCCCAAATGCGATCAATCCAAACGCTACTTGGAGTCCGCGTAAGCGTAATGCGTAATGCGTTATGCGTAAGTGTAACATGCATATACTTTTCACGCGCGGGCGTGGGCGTGGGGCATGAGTTTCGCGGGAAATGAGAAGACTTGCGCACTTGTCCTCGTCCCGCCGCGCTCTCCGCCTGTCCCAACCCATGCCTGTGAAGGTGTCAGTGGACTCAGTGGAGCGCACGCGTTGCCATCTAGTTCGAACAGCTGCCAGATCGGACAGCCGTGCGGTGCTGACCGCCCCCGTGAGGAGCGACCATCGGTGTCTTATTTCGAGGCGGCGCCGCTCATCTTAATTTTTAATTTTCATTTGTTTGCATTTGTTTCACGTTGTGAGTTATACTAAGGCCCAGTGCCTCGGGCTCGCAACTTAAGTCAGCGGAGGCATAGCAGAAAATTCGGAAGCGTGACTCGCGGCGAATGATCGTTTTGGATGCGAATTGCGATGCCTTGCAGGGTACGATCTTGGCTGTGAACAGCCGCAGAAGATCGTCGTTGTGCAGCCTCGTGGCTGTTGGCTGCCGTGAGTTGCCGTTGATGACTATCGCTGCGAATAGCTGGGGATGAGTGCTGTGGCCGTGTCTGGCCGGCTGCAGGTCTGGACCAGGCGTGACACACTGGCCGGCTGCAGGTCTGGACCAGGCGTGATACACTGGCCGGCTACAGGTCTGGACCAGGTGTGACACACTGGCCGGCTGCAGGTCTGGACCAGGTGTGACACGCTGGCCGGCTGCGGGTCTGGACCAGGTGTGACACGCTGGCCGGCTGCAGGTCTGGACCAGGTGTGACACACTGGCCGGCTGCGGGTCTGGACCAGTTGTGACACGCTGGCCGGCTGCAGGTCTGGACCAGGTGTGACACACTGGCCACGCATGCGGCCAGCGGGAAATAAGTGACGAAATGTAAGCCCCCATGATTGTGCAGTACATTCCTGTTTGGCTCCCGGATAACATTGGAGCTGTTTTCTCCCAATCGAAGCTGTTTCCCCTGATGGGTGGGTCTGTCAAACACTCCTGTGCCGGTCTTTTAATGTGCGGACCCCCATGGCTGTATTTGAGTCATAGGAGGAGGATGCAGCCTGCATAGTGCAACAGCGGGCACCCAAGCTGGCAATGAAATTAGCACTGCATTTAGCTTTCACTGCAATTTACTCGTTCTGAAAGCGCAGCTGCGTTACCGCAAGTTTACAACTCACTGCGTCCTCAGTCAGAAGTTCAATAACAATTGAAACCATCATCAGCTTGCCGTGCATGGTGATGACTCAGCGTGGACAAGACACGATGCTCAGAGTGAGATGGGAAAGTCACGGATGCGAACCGTTCATAGCTATTCGACTGTTACAGACCGGGGCAGCTGCATTGAGCGTTCAAGAAGTTTTGGGGCGCTGCATTTTAACAAAAAAAAGCACGACAGTTATCTTTATCTGTTAGGACATTGACGTAGAGCACAATGAACATTACTCTTAAAGATAAAAACCTTCATTAGAACTGTATTACTAGTTGTAGATTCGTTTCATACAAATGAATCCTTCGCCACTTCAGCATACCCAAATGTCCAAAAAAGCAAATAAAAATAGGCTGGGTCATGTTGCCTACACTATCCAAGAAAGCATACCGCCTACCGTGCTGTCCACCCCCATCCAGGGGCTGAATGCCTGGACTTTCCCCGCCTGCCAAGCGTAGTGTACATCAACCCCCCCCCCCCCCCCCCACGGACGGCGTCAGGCAGCAGTCCACCGTAGTCTACATCACCTGTGTAGGTGATGTAGACTACATTCCTGGGCGACGTCAGCTAGCAGTCCGCCGCAGACCCTGGCGAACAGTGTTGAACAGAGAAGCGTGCACCAGAGGTCGATCGGTGCGATCCCAGGCCCACCTGCAGTCGGCTGCTCAGCGGTCGGCCCGTGCCGACCGCGCGCCGTTGAGCGCGCGCCGCCGGCCGGAGCGGGGCGCCCGCCAGTAGCGCCATCTACTGACCCCTGCGCAGAGGCGTGGGATGGCATGTGTCAAGCGCAGGACGCTGGCGACGTCCGACTTACGTGGTGTTGGTCAGATACGGCCTGGTCACGTGGTATTTATCAGATACGGCACTGCACACTTGTAGAGGGCACTTGGGGAGGTTCAAAAGGGCCAAATGTTCCGATGGAGCGAGCAATGATCGGCATTACTCATAAAATGCAAGCCCCCGGGGTTTGCACTGATATTGTTGTCATGACAGCTTTTTTCCCGCGTCTACCGACTACGTCTCGTATTTTTTCCAACAAGGGACGCATCACATGGTCTTTGTGAGTTCGCGTTAAGCACGCAGAACAAAACTATTTGTATTTGGTTACGAGGCAGGGCAAACGAGCTCAAGGAAGCCACACTTTCTGCATTTTTTTTAAAATACATATTTACTGCAAAATTCAGTCGCCATGACCGATGGTCTTTCGCGTTTACCGTTCTCCGTGATTGCGTCCCGCAACCGTTTTAGAATGTGCCGGTTCTGGGCTGGTCCGTTGGCGTCCGCAGCGTTTTCCGCCGCTGATGCGCCGCCGGCCCGGAGCCCGAGCACCAATCGGCGCGCTAGGCGGCGCAGCGTAGACGAGATCGGCGCAGTGTGGTGATGGATGGGTCCGGACCGGCCCGGTTCCGTCAGCTCTGATTTATGTTGCGGCGGTTCTGGCGCACGGCGAGTGACGCAGAACAGGCCGCTTGATGGAGCGTCGGGGCTTTAATCGGAGGCATTAAAGGAAATTATTCCGCTGGCTCCATTGGCCGATTATATTAGCACCGAACGACTCGATTTGTCAGCCAGTAGCTATACGTGCGTGGTTTGGGGTTTCGAAAGCGCCTCTGTAACGCGCAAGAGACGGGGCGTTGCGGTTGGTGCCGCTTCTCGGAGCGGTGTTTTGTAAGGCGAGCTTGGTATTGCGTGTTGATGTCAGGCTTAGTAACGATCATCGTTGACGTATTTTGATGCTTAGCATTCCGTAATGGAGGAAAGAGAGACGCCCAGCGTTTCACTTAGTCCATTCGTACTCCCGTGGTCAAATGACGCAATAGCCTCAGTAAAGGTGGTCCAGCTCCAAGCCAATGTACCATTCGCTGCGGTTGGGACGCCTGCTGTCGGTTGACGTCCGTCAACAATGCCGTCTCGTCACAACTGTTCGTAACTCGCACGCCTTTACTGTGCGAATGCTTCTTTGCATACCCGTGAAAACGTTCTGTTTAGGACGATTCGTGAACTGCATGCTGTCTCTGTGGGCCAAAAGTTAAAACCAGCGGAATTGCACTTTCATCAGCCTCATCACAAGCGGTCAAGCAGTACCCACAAATATCGCGTTTTATTTGATTGCATTCCTGCTGCTTACTGTGGTCATTCTGTTACGTCAAACGTGGAATTCTTTCACAAACCTTCTCCGTGCAGCTTTCTGTGCAGCATTTCCAGACACGCCTAACTGAGGAGAGCCCTTCAGGAACACCCGTTTCCACGTTTCTCGCATCCAGGTGGCTCCGATCGCGCCCTCGCGTAAATCACGTTCGCTTGCGGCGTCGCATCCCTGCCGCGCCCGTCACCTCGATGAAGCGGTCGGCGCTGCCCCACTGTGACCCCGTGTCGCCTCGCCGCGCGCCCGTCGACCCCCTCCGCTGCATCCTGCAGCGCCGAGGCCGCCTCCGCGTCAGCACGCGCCGATCTGGCGCGCGCCCGACGCCGACCGGGGTAATTAAGCCATCGGCTAGTTAGAGTGGCGCCGTGGGGACCGATCATCGCACCAAAGGCGGTAATTGGGCTCCCATGTGTCGCATCAGTTTAGGCAGGCGCACGGCGGTGTCCGGCGGCGCCCAGCGGCGACGCGGGCCCACCTCCCAGGCGGACATACCGCGCTGCTGAGCGCACCAATAGCGTCCCACTGGGCGCGCAGCCGGAGGCCGCTCACGCCCCGCCCCCGGCGCGCGCGCCCATTGGCGGGCGCGGCCGCTCCATTGTGCGCGGGCCAATCGGCGGAGGCGGCGGCGGCCGGCGCAGCGGGGCCCGGCCTCCAGCTGACTGAGAACGAATCGCACGCGGCGTTTCTGTTGCAGAGGGCACCTCCTGCGGCGCGCACGTCCGTCTGAAGAGTGGGTATTATGGTATCGGAGAGGGGCAGTGTCTTGCTGGGTCCTGTGGCGTTCGCTCCGCGTGGTGACGTGTCCGCCGTCCCGCCTCGCGCCCGTGCCGAGACGGCGTGCCCTCCCGCGACGGCCGACCTGTGGCGCGCGCCGCTCGCCGCCGCCAGGATGCACGTCGACACGAAGCCGGTGGTGAACCCGTTCATGGAGGCCGGCCACGGCCCGGTCGGCCTCATGTTCGGGCCGAGCATGAGCGCCGCCGAGGCCAGCATGCAGAACCAGTACCAGAACGGCTACGGCATGGGCGTGCCGGTGAGTCACCACGGCATGCACGGCCACATGGGCTCGTACGCAGCGCGCGACTTCTTCCTGCGCCGCGACCACATGGCCGGCTCGCTGGGCGCGCTGGGCGGCCACGACCTGCCGCAGCAGCACCACAGCGTGTTCGCCTCTTCCGGGCTCGGCCACCACGAGCCGTCCATGGTGCTGCCCGGCCTGCACGACCAGCAGCACGCGCACATGAACAGCCAGATGCGACTGGGCTCCATGTACGGCGCCGAACAGTTCCAGCAGCTGTCGGGCAACCAGTTCCACCACCAGATGAACTGGAACATGGGCGCCATGGGCGCGCCGCACGGCTGCTACCGATACTTGCGTCAGCCGCTCAAGCAGGAGATGACCTGCAAGTGGATCGACCCCCACCAGCGCCCAAGAAAGTGTGCAACAAAACGTTTCACAGCCTGCACGAGATTGTGAACCACCTGACAGTGGACCACGTGGGCGGTCCCGAGTGCACGAACCACGCCTGCTGCTGGCAGAGCTGTGCACGCAACGGACGCGGCTT